ACGGAGGGGTCTTGACCTGACATTGATCCTGATTGTGTACATATAGTTCACAAAAGAGCCTTGGTCGTATTCTAGAATTGATTACGAGATGTGTTGAGACCAACTTTCGTTCACGGAGGGGGTCAAAGGCCCGTGACGGAAGTTCTTAGCCCGAGGTGGATTACATATTTCAGTACGATGGTACATTTTTTGTGGATTTTGAGTATATTTGATATAATGAGATTATAGTATAGTTATTAGTTGGTGTTTATAGCTCGACTTTGAGATGATATTTTGTGACGTTATGTGAATGTCTCACGTTTTGGCTATAATTATATAATACTATCTTGTGAATTATTCAATGATATGAACTCGATTTTCGATAAAAATGTTAAATTGAAAAAGTATAATTATTTTCAAACTTCTCTACTCATTGAGTTATCAACTCATATATTTTCCCATAATTTTTCCTACAGGTAGCAATTGATTTTTTTAGCTGAAGAGCCTAATGATTTCGGAATGAGAACCACACAACATGTTGAGAGTTATATGATGAAGCACGAAGTAAATAATTTGGACCCCTCTCATTATATTTTACACCACATTTGATTTTGGAGCATTTTTTATAATAACTTATAGTCAACCTTGGTCATATATTTGACATTTATTCAGCATCTATCACCGGAGCACGTCCCGTTTCGGATCCACTCGAGTGATTCAGGACGGGTCGTGTCATGGACCTTATGTTGTGTTTCAAGTGCATGACGGAGTTCTTGACGGCTATATCAAAGCCGTTGACAGGATTGGTTAAGAACAAAAGCCAGCTAATATTAAATTTAAGGAATACGAAAAGTTCATGGGACGGTATGTTAAGATACCAACTGTACGAAAATATGGATAAGCAACAACAATGAAAAGCAGCAATTTATTGATGGAATTATGAGCAATTACAGTAATGCAAGGTAACAATTATAGCCTTTCTAGAGGGCTATTATCTCCGGACCTTTTTTTTTTTTTTTTTTTTTTTAAAAAAAAATTTTTAAAAAGCCTTTTTTTTTTTTTTTTTTTTTTAAACAAGAACTTTACTCAATCACCCCTCACTTATGGCGGAGGAATACCGTGGGGTCAAAATAACAAAGCGAAAAAAGATCCAAACAAGCCATGTAGAACTAATCAACCCATCTAGTTACACACATCAACCTAACAATTATTGCCTAATATTTGGAAAACCAAGTTTCTCTGTACGAATAATACCTCTTAACAAATTTGGTATTTGATCTATGTGCATGTAACTCATCGTGATACCATCCGCCCCTTGTCTGACTAGAAAGTTTGCGGCTCTATTTGCTTCTCTATATTAGTGAGAAATGGTAAAACTGATTCCATCAAGTAATTTTAGTAACTCTTCCCAATAATCCCACAAATACCAAATCCAATAATCCCACAAATACCAAATCCTACATGAACGGTTTGTTAAACAATTTACCACAACAGCTGAGTCACACTCAATTTCCACCTGTTGGAAGCCCATCTCTTTACATAGCTCTACACCAGTTATCACAGCACGCAACTCCGCTTCATTGTTACTTCCAAATCCGTATGGGGCAGAGAAGCCAGCAATCATATTACCATGATGATCCCTGATAACTCCCCCACCTCCACAAGGTCCCGGATTACCAAGACTACTCCCATCAATATTTAGTTTTACCCAACCATCAGCAGGTTTCCTCCAAGAAACAAAGAGGGTTGGTTTACTCGTCTTCGAACTCATAGGCACCTCTAAGGCTTTGAGTAGTTCATTGTCTATTTTACTTAGTTTTGAGACTTTGACAATTTCTTCAGCTAAGAGGCGCAACCAAACCTTTATTTTAAGCCATACCTCCTTCGTAGATTCTCGAATCTCTTCCATACGGGTACATCACCGTCCTCATAGTTTCCATGTTATCAAGCTTGGTAATAGCCCAATTAGAATTCCATGTTGTGAGGCATTTTTTGCGCACGTGAACCATCTATTGACTCTTGTCCACCAAGATTGTGGCCCCATATAGTGCACACCCAAGGCTAAAGATGCCCACTTCCAAACTGTCGTAGCAATATCCCCAGAGTTAAGTACATGATCAAGTGTTTCCCACTTGTCCCTTCTCACAACAATCACAGCGTGAAGCTAGAGCAATTCCTGTTGATCTCACCTTAGTATCCACACTTAAGCAGCCAAACTTCGCCTTCCACATACAAACAGAAATTTTTTTGGGTAGAAATTTATGCCATATCCATTTCATCCAAGGAATCTCTGGACTCCTCACCCTTACAATATCCCAGGCGCTTGAAGTGGAGAATTCTCCATTATCGTTCGGCTTCCATATGATAATATCACTTCCTTCTTTTCTGGCACCAATGGTTTGTACAATTTCCTCTGCCTTTACCTCCCCCACTAGCTCTTGAAGATGGGCGAGATCCCAACCATCTTCAATCCAGTAGTCTCTAACCTTCATTCTTGGGTTGGTTACCTCCAAGGCCTGCTCATTTAATGGGCCACTAGCTAACCAGCGATCATACTAAAATGAAGCTGACCCATCTTTGATCTTCCATTTTGAATTTTCACACACCTCAGGTAGCATCTTTACGATTGATTTCCATAAGCTTGATCCATTGGTGTTAGAGTTGACCAAAAGGTGACCGTTCTTTATGTATTTGCTATGGATAAAACTGGACCACAAACTATTACTCGTCATAAGCCGCCATGTAAGTTTCATATGGAGGGATCGTTGAATTGTAACAAAATCCCGTACCCCAAGTCCACCCTCTATATTTGGCATACATACTTTAGACCAAGCACGCCATTTCTTTTTCTGTTTACCATTACTCTCACCCCAGGAAAAAGTAGATAATAAGGAGTTTATGTTGTTGAGAGTTATCTTCGGAACATTTACCACTGCTAACAAATGTGTTGCCATACATGTCAGAACATGTCGGATTAAAATAAGTCAACCTCCTTGAGATAGTAGTCTCATTTTCCAGCCTGCTATTTTGGTTCGAATTTTGGCTACCAAAGTCTCCAAATGCCTAGTTGTAAGATGACCAAAGGTGATGGGCACCCCTAAGTAGACCACAGGGAATTGCCCTTCAGTAAAACCAGTATGTCGAAGCAAGTTCCTCTTCCTTGTATAGCTAATCCTTCTTGAAAAGAAAATAGCCGGTTTCTCAGTATTGATCAATTGCCCCGACCACTTTTCATATGTATTCAGTGTCTTCATGAGCATTTTTATAGATTTACTACCTCCATTCACGAACACTACTACATCGTCGGCATATAGCAGATGTGAGACCAAAGGGGCCCCAACAAGGTGATAGAACCTCCCAATGCTGCCATCTTCAAACCTCTTGCGTAAAAGACGTGTTAAAACCTCTTCCATAATGATGAACAAATAAGGAGACAAAGGATCGCCTTGACAGAGCCCTCTGCTAGATTGGAAGAAACCTTTATAAGTCCCATTCATCATAACTGAAAACCAAGGAGTTGTAACACAGTGAGATACCAAGTTACAAAACCTTCTACAGAAGCCAAAGCCTTCAAGTACTCGCAGTAAAAACCTCCAATCTACTCGGTCATAAGTCTTTGCCATGTCGATTTTTAGCATAACAGAATGGACCATTTCCTGTGTAGGCGTGATGTTCTCAAAAATACTTCTATCCAGGATGAACGCTCCTTGTTCAGGAGATACAATCTTTGGGAGCACCCGTGTCAAGCGCTTGACAAGGATCTTTGAGAAAGCTTTGTAGACCACTGAACATAGGCTAATGGGTCTGAACTTATCAAAACTCCGAGGTTGGTCTACTTTCGGAATTAAGACAATGAATGAAGAGGTGTAGAATCTGGGTAGTGGACTGCCCTTGAAAAATTCTCTCGCTGCCTCCACCATGTCATCTTTCACTAAGTCCCAACACGAAATATAAAAACCAGATCCAAATCCATGAGGTCCGGGGCTGCTCTCTGTTGGTATAGAAAAGATTGCATCCTTCACCTCTTCTTCTGTTGGTTCCACGCATAAAAGATCGTTATCCTGTGCTGACACAACTGCAGAAAGTATGGAAGCCAGATCTCCTTGTTCACTTGTCCCATTCTCGCGCAAGGTTTGTTCAAAATATTTAACGGCACCATTATGAACCTCTTCTGGCGAAGCTAACACTATCCCATCAGATAGTCGCATAGAAGAGATGTGTGAAGACTTTCTCCGTTGATTAACCACTGCATGGAAAAATTTCGAGTTTTGGTCTCCTTCAACCAGCCATTTCTTCTTTGCTTTTTGTGCCAATCTGGTTTCTTCCCTTTTCTCCCAAAGTTGTAGCTTCGCCTTTGTATCAAGGAATTCCGCCTCTAAATTTGGGTCAAAACCACTTTACCACTGATTATCCAGCAACTCAACGCTTCAGAACTTGCAACGAAGTTGTCAAGACCTCAAAAATCGGTATTTCGAGCCCAAGACAGTGCTTGTTTTCCTTCCCAATTCTTCTCTGCGCTCCAGTTGTCTGCAAACTCTACCCTTGTCCCAATATTCTCCAATTGCAGCGGAGTTTCAGAATTAATGGTTGGTTCCGACGAACTGAATGCGACCCACTTTTCCTCTGTGTTCTTGCGTGTTCCCTTTGTGATTCCTCCATAACTAACTTCCTTTGATCGTTCCGTGTTCATGCCTGCCTCAGTGAGCTTGTTTGGAATTTTAGAAGCAAAGGTATGTTCGGTAAGTTTCCTCCCATGGACGGCCGGAAATCTGACTGTCATCCCCGCTTTCAATTCTTCCCAAGTTTGCACGGGTTGATGACGATCTATCCATTGAAACCACTCCCAGGCTTCACAGCCAAGCATGCCATAGCGGCTTCCACTTTTTCCCTTTCCGACAATTGATTCCTTGCGAAAATTTAATCATCTTTCCTTAGCCACCAATCTGGATCACCATCATAGAATATTGATATTTTTAGTTGACCTAGTGAATCCAATCCCGAATCCTTTGTCCAATCTCCTCCTTCCTATTGCAACATCAAGCGGTCAAATTGACTCATTAACGAGCTCCATTTTTCCTCCCATTCATTGCTGGATTTTGTTTCCATTTGCCACAGAATCGGTGCTCTGATACCAATTTGTTAAGATACCAACTGTAGGAAAATATGGATAAGCAACAACAATGAAAAACTGTAATTTATTGATGGAATTCTAAGGAATTACAGTAGTGCAAGGTAACAATTATAGCCTTTCCAAAGGGCTATTCTCTCCTGACTTAACTACCAATATTTTGCCTGCTTCCCTATTAATTTCCCCTTCTATATATAGGCAAACCTGACTGTAGCATTTTACATTTTTATCCCTCATTCTAACTAACTGGTGAACATTCTTGAATTGGGCTCATCTAATTGGGGCCTATCACAGTAGTCATTAGTCCAATTGCTAATTGGATTCTGAGTTGAGGACTTGCCTGTTTAAAAATTTAGCACTGATGAAAGGGTTTGAGAGTAAAGTTAAAATAAGCATCAGTAACCATGTTAGTCCCAAGGCAGCTTGCATGCTTAACTAGTCAATGAATCGCATCAACAGATGTAGACACATTGTTGCTTGATCTTGCTCTCACCATACTATTTCCTAGCAGGTAAGGACTATGAAGGGCACACCTCAGGTGTACCTGCTATTGTCATTGAGCAGCTATAGAAGAAATATATTTGTTTAATTTTCATAAAGTAATTACGGGTTTGAACCCCATTTTACAAGAGGCTGTAGAAATTTTCTTTCCCATTATTGAAAATCTCAATTACCGATTTCATAACATTGATATCCATATTCGGTTAAAGTGAAATTATTGATTCTATTAGCTAATCACCAAACTTCAGGGTCAATGCAACCACAGTCCGCAACAATCTATTTTTACTCTCAAGTGACTAATCTATGATCTGAATAAAGTCATCTCTAAGTGGAAACTAGGTTTTACTCAAGGTCAATTCAACCACAGGCCGCGACATTCTATTTTTACTCAAGTGATTAATCTATGATCCAATAAAGTCATCACTAAGTGGATACTCGGTTTCAAGAGATTCAACCTATGCTGGTACAGAAATTAATCAGATATTGATCCAGACTGTACATATTCAAAACTAAATAATTCACTACGAAACTATAGAAAGTCAACTAATTAGCCACGAAGCATCATTGCAAACACAACCTTAGATCCCATTTGATAGGATAGAGATCTTTTCCAATGTTCAGTATATAACAGAGTAAAAAGCTTAGTCTACCTTGAGTAATATCACGAACAACGGCTGTAACATCACCTCCAGCAGAGAAAGCTCTTCCTTTTCCCTGTCAACAGATGTTGCAGAAAGTCACGTAACAGCTGTGCAGTATTTTGAAGATGTTAAAAACTGAGATTGAATACTATTTACAATTTCAGATAGAATATAGGTTGCTAAATACTCCATACAAGCTTAATTATCTTTAATTTATCTGAGTTTCTTCTACACCAGATAAATCTGTTTTATGCATACCAGATAAAACTGTTTTATGCACCCAATTTTTTTAAGGGTTCGAAATAATCATCAGCCAAGAAAGATATATTTTCCTCAGTTAATTTAAGACAGAACTAAGAGTATAGGCTGCATAGGTCTTCGTGATTTTAAAGTTAATTTAGAGGTGGATTTAGAGTCGAGTCGCTCAAGCACCAAGGAACACTAGCATACATATCAGCTTATGAGTTTATCATTTGTGCACAGCCTTTTTATCCACCATCTATTGTTAAGGTATAAAAATCTCACATCGAATAACGATGAAAATATTGACCAATTTATAAGATCTTGGGCTACTCCGTTTAATAAGGTTGACCTTTTAAGATGAACCCCAAATCTTAACATGGTATCAGAGTTCATTAAGCTCCAACAAGCAATTCAATCCGATTAAAACTCAAAAAAATGAACATATAAATTTCAAGATTGATCTACTCAAAAAATAAGCCACCATCTTGCATGGGCATGTTAAGGTATAAAAATCTCACATCGAATAACAATGAAAATATAGATTAATTTATAAGATCTTTGGCTACTCCGCTTAATAAGATTGACCTTTTAAGATGAACCCCAAATCTTAACGTCTATATTGAGCCATCCTACTTCAGAGGCACTAAGGATAGCATCTTCAGCTTTTGATTTCAATAGTAGGTTTAGAGACTATGCACATGAGACTATCGGTCCACATGGAGATGAAGGGTTAGAGACTATGCACGAGACTTTCGGTCCACATGGAGATGAAGCTGATATAAAGATTCCTCGTGGAGCCTGGTAAAATAACTCACGGCAATCTACTTCGAGTAGTGATTTTGAACGAGAGATGTATGAAGACTAAAATCAGGGTGAGGCCATTTGAGTGCTAGCTTTTAGTCCCATACTCTTTCTAAATTGTACTCTGTGTCTCTTTCTTCGTTAGATGGAGGTCAGTCACCCTCTTAAGTTCGTAATCTTTCAGTTTGCACTATTGATAATAAAAGCTGCCGCGTGAGGTTTTAACAAAAAGAAAAAAGGCTAAAGAAGTTTTTCTTTAACATATTTTCTCGAGAGAAATCTCAAACGGAAGGTTCATTTTAAGCAAGAGACAGTGTAGAAACTATGTAGCAAGGGGGAGGGTGGGGAACGAACTGATTGCATTAAAAATATTTCAAACTAATTAGTACTATATGCTTGACGTCTAGTAGATGTCCCCAAGTAATGCAAGCCATATACTAGGTAAAAGCATGTCAAGTTCTCCAAATTCAGATTTATTGCGTTGCATGAAGTTCTAGACTATCATATGTCAAGCCTCAAGTTCAAACAATTAGAGCAGGTTAACTTATCAAGCTGGATCCTATTCTGTTTTTTTGTCAAAATTCCTCTCCTGCTATGAAGAATGTCAAACATATTATTTTTGTTCCACAGAAATGGCACTCAATTATTATAAGTCCAAATTTTACAGATGGTACGACATAATTAGAGATGTACAAGCAACATGTTTTCACATTTGAATCTCGCAGTTCAAATATTTAAAAAATGTAGGCACTAAACCAAACTGATAATCACTCTTTAGAAAAAAGAAAGAAAGAAATCAAATGGCATCATCACTAACATATAGAATCAACCTTCGATTAGAACCATCATGACCAAAAAGCAAATAAACTAAAGGGCATAGCAAGATTGACTGGATCAATATCCAAAAGAGGGTCAGAGCAGGGAAGAAGGCCAGCATTTTTCCTACAAAAATTAGCTTAAAATGCAGAGAACTGCAATGGGAAAGACCTTATTATCAGAAATATGAAATTTAGCATTTTCTGGTAAATAAAACTAACTATACCAGTAATGAAGAAGGTGGATAAGAATAGATAATGATTAATGCTTATTAAAATGCCAGGACTTTTTCCAAAATGGGCATACTGAAGGCTCCAAATCTTTGCGCATTCATTATCATCACTTGGTTAATAAACTCTCAACACAATGCGTATAGACCAATAATGTAGAATTTCATAGAACTATACCTTCAGAATTATCAATTTGACAGAAGGGTCCTCCTCACAAGCAAGAAAAAGATCCAGCAGCCGAGATACCTAGAATAAGCAGCACAAATTGAAGGAAACTATTGAAATATTATTAAGCTATGGGATATTGTTAGAGTCGCACAATTGCATAAAAAACAGGCAATATTATATAAACTTTCCTACACCCTGAAATAATGTGACATGATAAAGATGCACTAGAAAAGAACCCCATTCATCCCAATTGGCAGATGGGACAGCAAGTAGGAAGCTTCAGCTCACCATGGCGATGCTGGAAAAACAATCACCTAAGCGAAACAGAAGGTTAGCCGACTGAAGCAGAATAAAAGAGGAAGTTGCTCAGCTCTTAGGTCATAAGATAAGTAAGGTAAGTTCAACCGAAAATATGCTCGGCTTGACAGCAAAATATGCCAAAGATGGGGTCAAACAATAGTTCATCAATCAGACAAGATTTGACCAATGCAAGAGAAAAATTTCCCAGGTGACCAGTCTCGAGGGATTGGGAACAAGTTCCTTAGAGTGGCCCCCAAGGTACAAGTTCCAAGGGGAGCCAGGCTCATGTTTCCAATATGGCATAAACAGCAAGAAATTAGGAGAAGGATAATTGTCCTATCCGCCTCACGTCCAGGATGATATTCTCCCAGAACTCCATCTATAAAGCCACCTAACAAAAGTAACACAGAGATTGCCCGACACTTTATTTGCCAGCCAAAGATTATAAACTGTCACTTTGTCAAATTTCCCTCTCAAACAGCAAATTAACTTGATCACCGTAGCCTATCTGACTCCACCAACTCAAAAAATGAGAAGGACAAAAAGTAGTATCTTTTCTACTGAAGTATAGTAAGCTTATGAAAGCGGTAAAGAAAAAGGGTTACAGGAAGAGTGAAATGTAACACCAGAACAGCCCAAAAAGTTTCTATTCATTAGAATGATAAGACGAGAGATAGAGATTGCCGATTCCTCACAGCAAACCATATAGCAGTTAAGCGAATCACAGTGTAGATTTCCTCTCAATCACATAATTCATGGAATTAAAGAGTATACAATAGAATCAAAATCTGACGAAGAAGAATTGCATGTGTATCACTGGAATTAAAAAAGCAGCAATTCCACAGTCCTTGAACACTAAGCCTATATTGCAAGGCCTAAGAAGTATTTGGGATCAATTTTTGCTTTGAAAGCAGTAATGACAGTGCACGTATTATGCCCCAATCCAGAATTCCCCATCCCCTTGACAAGTTAGTTTGAAGAGGTATCTTGTAGTGTCCCCACGTGCTGCAGGTGATGCAGGTGATGGAGCTTTAATGCCAACAAATGTTCCTGGAGTTGCCAAGTTAGTGTCTTAGAGAGGGTTTTAGGCTTGCCATGTCAACCATTATTAGCACAATAATCCTGATAGCCTTACACCATACACGCTGGCACAGATGCTCATAGCACGGAAAAAGAAAATGATAACCGGCATATAACTCCATAAGATCCTTCATTTAATCAAGATGATGGGAATAACGTCACATAGATGACATAATTATTAAGGGTCTCCATACAAGTTCATAAAGCAGTACAAATGAATACAATTGCCAACTGAATTCGTACCATTTGAAAAGAAACAGCATTTAGTTGTTTAGGCCTGTTTAAAGTGAAGATTCTTGCAGAGGATTTCTCTTCCACTAAAACCTGCAAATCCATTTATCTTTAATTATTTATTTGTCATCAAGCATTAAACTAAAGACTGTGTTTTTAGTTCATTAGAATAGAAGATAGTGCATATAAACCCAGATAATCCTCCGCAAGAGAACTCTAAACCCAAAAAAATCCCACAAAAATGTAATATTTTACCTTCTCAGCAATCAAACAGACTATTAGAAGGAAACCCAAGAGTCAAAAGTTAAAGTTACACACAACCTCGTATATTTACCTGATCGGTTTCCCCAAAGCTATAAGGATTTGAAGCCATGGTCCTCGCTTCCCTGCGCTTCGGATACTGGCAACCTGTATAGATAAAACTAAAACAAAACAAAACCAAAAAAACCCCAGTGAAAATAGAATGAAAAGCAAAAATTGAAGAATGAAGACGTTGCTGCTGTGTAAAAAAGTAAGAAGTTTGCAATCGCCAGAGTATTACACGACGGTATACGGTTCGAATGACCTCGAAACACGAGCCAAGTCATCCAACTTTTCAAAATTGCCTTTCAGTCCTTCACTTTCTTCTTACTCTTTTTCAAAATCTTTTCACAAGTTGTACATAGCCTCCGTTTGTCTGAGTGAAAATAGAATGAAAAGCAAAAATTGAAGAATGAAGACGTTGCTGCTGTGTAAAAAAGTAAGAAGTTTGCAATCGCCAGAGTATTACACGACGGTATACGGTTCGAATGACCTCGAAACACGAGCCAAGTCATCCAACTTTTCAAAATTGCCTTTCAGTCCTTCACTTTCTTCTTACTCTTTTTCAAAATCTTTTCACAAGTTGTACATAGCCTCCGTTTGTCTGGAAAATATATTCATTACGGGTCTTATACAAGAAATAGAAATTTAAATTTGATGATTTAATGTGATGAATAATGATTATATTTTTTATTTTAATAAAAAAAATGGAAACCAAACAGGGCATAATAAAAAAAAAAATAGATGGTAAATACATTTCCCCACATTTTTTATTTGTTGTACCACGGCCTCAATTTTCTTTTATTGTAACGGTGATATCCTTAATTTTTTTCTCATTGTTTTCATATCTCTAACATTTCATTAATTAGAACATGTCATCTTTCATAATGATGTTAGTCGAAAATCTTCATTGGAAGAGTGCAAAATGACTTATTTGTCAATCATTTTTAAAATACACACACATGCAATAAAATATTTACACAACTATAATATTTTGATATAAATTATCATCAAAGACGAGATGTGTTAATTAATGAAATGTTAAAAATAAAAAATATCATTGAAAAAAGTTTGGAACATAATTTATACAATAAGCAAAGCGTGGTACGATAAATAAAATTTATTGTGTGATTGTGTGAATATAATTACTCGAATAAATTTGTTCTCCTTTAACGACCTTCAATTTAAAACATGCCTTAACTAATATTAGATTGAGAAATGTAAACAATATTTTATGTATTTTATTCTTAAAAAATTTCCATACCATATATATAATTCATGTTCTTCAAAAATATTAGTATTGTGTAATTGTAAACTAATGAAGAGTGGGATCAAGCCTCTCTCGATAAGAATATTTGAAGTGATAATTCTCATTTTTATCAAATTATAAGAAAAATTATGCATCTGTCAATGTTATTCTTATTAATTTCGGTGTTTGTATATAATTTCATCTTTGTCATTTTCATGGTTAGTTTTATGTACGGGTGACGTTTTCCAATTTCTCTAAGTAACGTATAATTTCAAGTGAAAGACTTGGATTCATCTTATTATTATTCATATAAGTGATTTTATTTATTTATTTATTTATTTATTTTTTAGTTCTTTTCATTATAGTATGTATTTTATATAGATTAAATTAAATTTGTTTTGGTCACCAAAGATTCACTTGTTACCTCAACGTAATTTGTATGATTTTTTTACAACTCACTTGTTCACATTCATTGTAACATACAATTCACTGTCTTTGCTCAACGTTGATTTTATGTATTATTAGTGTATTTGCAATCTGGGCCTTGTGCACTTTAATATGATATTACTTTGCACTAATAATACTTTTTTTAAATTCAGAATGATTTGTTGTGTATATTTTCTTGTACATTAGTTTTAGGGATAATTGCAGCAGAAGCTCAAAATCTTTGAAATATTAGCAGACTTTTCTCCAAACCTTTCATTTGTTGCATTCGTCCACCCCCTAACATTTCCAATCGTTGCACGTGAGGCCTTTTTGAATGGTTTCCAAAAAAAATTTCATTAGTTGATTATCAAAATACACTATGACCACCTCTTAATCAAATTTATAAGGGTAAAATGGTAACTTTTATTTATCACATTAAACAATAAAAAAAACGTAAATCAAAAACCAAAAAAAAAGAAAAAAGAAAAAGAATCTTCTTCTTCTCCCCCCACCCCATCCC